TTCTAGTTTCTGGTTCCCGGGCTCCCGGGTTCCCATCGATCTCATCGTCGATTTCACTAGCGATCTCAACATTCATCTCATTCAATCGATCTCACCATCGATCTCATTACCAATCTCGCTCTCGGTCTCACTGTCGATCTTACGATCGATCCCACTATCGATCACACTATTGATACTATTGCTACCACTATCGATCTCAGCATCGATCTCACGATCGATCTCAAGGTCGACCTCACGATCGATCTCACGGTCGATCTCACGATCGCTCTCACTATCGGTCTCACTATCGATGTCATCATCGATGTCACGATCGATCTCACCATCGATGTCACTCAATCGATCTCACTATCGATATCACCATTGATTCCTCTATCGATATCACGGTTGATCTCACTATCGATATCATTGTCGATCTCACTCAGTCGATCTCACTATCGATCACACTATCGAACAAAGGATCGATGTCACGATCGATTTCACTATCGAATTCATTCAGTCGACCTCACTACCAATCTCGCTATCGAATGTGCTAGCGATATCACGATCGATCTAACTTACGATCTCACTCAATGGACGATCGCACCATCAATCTCACTACCGCTAGCATAACATAGCATAGCATATAGCAGAGCACGGGACACCCCCGCGCCACGGGACACCACGGGACACCACAGGAGACCACGGGACACCATCGGGACACCATTGGGACACCATGCGGACACCAACGGGACACCATCGGGACACCACGGACCACTGCTGGCCAACCCAGGGAACGGCAACGTTTGGTTCGGCTTCGCCCTGGCAACGGCGGGTTCATTCCTCTCGCCCGCCCATACAGGTTCGCCTCGCCCGCACGCGCGACACGAACCTGAATCTGAAACCGATAGTGGGGGGGGTCTTTCGTTTCACTGCAATCTCACCCCCCAACCTGCGATATTCCCAATCAGAGCTTGCCTCTGTAGGGGTCCTAGCGGATTCAATGGTTAGGTGAGGTGTGTCACCGATTTCCGCGGCCCGCCCGGGTGCCCGGGTGCTTGGGTGCCCAGGTGCCCAGGTGCCTTATAGCCCGATAGCCTTCTAGCCCTAGCCCTATAGCATCATAGCCCAATGGCCCTATAGCCCTATAGCTCTATAGCCTTATAGCCCCGTAACCCTATAGCCCAATAGGACTGTAGCCCAATAGACCAATAGCCCTATAGCCCTATAGCCCCATAGCCCAACAGCCCTATAGGCCTATAGCCCTGCATCCCTATAGCCCTATATCATTTGTAGCCTTACTGCCTTATAGCCCTATAGTCCTACAGCCCTATAGCCTTATAACCCTATAGCTCTGCATATGCATATCGCCCTATAGCCCTGTAGCCCCATAGCCCTATATCCCTTTAGCCCTATAGCCCTATGGGCACATAGCCCTATGGCTCCATAGCCCTGTAGGCTCATAGCCCTATGGCCCTACAGCTCTATAGCCCCATAGCCCCAGAGCCCCAGAGCCCCATAGCCCCATAGCCCTATAGGCCTACAGCCCTATAGCCCTATAGCCCTATAGCCCTGAAACCCTATGGCCTGTAGCCCTATAGTTCCATAGCTCTGTGGCTCCGTAGCCCTATAGCCCAATAGCCCCATTGCCCTATAGCCCTAAAAACGACTCTGATTAGGTTTTCTCCAGTATCATAAATAGATGTATATAGATGTACAGCGAGAGAGGGAGAGAGAGAGAGAGAGAGGCAGAGAGGAAGAGAGAGAGAGAGAGAACCAACTACATAATGAGAGAGGCAGAGTACAGAGAGAGAGAGAGAGACGCAAAGAGAAAGTGCGTGTATGTATAGTTGCATGTGTATATACAAAGGAAGGCACAGGGAGTGGCACACACACACACGCACACATTTTCATATGTATACATATATATATACATATATATATATGTATGCAGAGAGAGAAACAAGAGAGAGAGAGAGAGAGAAAGAGAGAAATAGAGAAACATATACCAACTAGATTGCATTAGAAGGAGGTAAGCTCGAATTCGACTAGGGCGGGAAGAAGGCCGATTGAGGCACCTACGAAAATTCAAATATCCACTGTTTGGGATTTTATCTGGTGTAATTTCCTGTTGATTCTTTCCGAAAGAACTACCCGGACCAGGTTGACTGGAGGCTTGGCCAGGGTTGGTTGGCCAGAGTTGGGCAGAGGGCTGGCCAGGGTTGGCCAGTAAGTTGGCCGGTGTTTGGCCTGAGCGTTTTGGTAGTTCTTCGAATGAAGATTAGATATAGGGGAACGGAGAATGACATAAGCATAACAACTCGGAGGTCCGCGCGGACATCCGAGTTAGTATGTTTATGCTATTATTCTTTTCCCTCGAGTAATTGTCCACATGAGTTCTTTGCTGGCGTTTTTCCTTGCTCAAGTCTGTGGGATCCTGCTGTTTACGTGAGCCTTGGGTCGCTTGGCCAGCGGAGCCAGGCTCGCTGTGGTAGACGACCTCCAGCAGCTGCCAGAGCTCAAACACTTCTGGCACTGCTTCCTGGGCGCAGCCCCAGCAGTCGGACTCGTGTTCGTTCTTCGGGGGCCGGCCAAGAGGGGGGTGACGACTTAGGGGGGCGTGAATATCATGGCGGGGGCCATGCTATCTCCCCAGATTTCATGGCGCCTCTTCTTGTTTCAGTGCGTGCCGTCCGCCCCCGCCCAGGGCCGCGCACATGCCGCCGGCCATGATTTGCGCCCCCCCCCCCCC